CTACCTGCACCGCATGACCACGCTGTTCTGCATCAACGTGAGTACACCTGGCCACACCTGGGCACACCTGGGCACACCTGGGGTACACCTGGGGTACAGCTGGGGTACACCTGGGGTACACCTGGGGTACAGCTGGGGTACAGCTGGGCACACCTGGGGACACCTGGGGACACCTGGGCACACCTGCACATACCTGGGCCCAGGGCACCATCGTGCCCAAGGTGCTCGCCATGGCCGCCGACCCCAACTACCTGCACCGCATGACCACGCTGTTCTGCATCAACGTGAGTACACCTGGACACACCTGGGCACACCTGGGGGACAGCTGGGGACAGCTGGGCACACCTGGGGTACAGCTGGGGACACACCTGGGCACACCTGGGGTACAGCTGGGGTACAGCTGGGGACACCTGGGCACACCTGGGCACACCTGGGGTACAGCTGGGCACACCTGGGGACAGCTGGGGACAGCTGGGGACACCTGGGTCACACCTGTCCCATTACACCTGTCCCATTACACCTGTCCATGTCACACCTGTCCATGTCTCACCTGTCCAGGTGTTATCGGAGGTGTGCAGGCAGGAGGTCACCACCACCCAGATGTTGCCCACCGTGCTGCGCATGGCCCTGGGGTCACACCTGGGTCACACCTGGGTCACACCTGGGTCACACCTGGGGTCACACCTGGGGTCACACCTGGGTCACACCTGGGTCACACCTGGGTCACACCTGGGTCACACCTGGGTCACACCTGTCCCATTACACCTGTCTCACCTGTCACACCTGTCCCATCTCACCTGTGCAGGTGTTATCGGAGGTGTGCGGGCAGGAGGTCACCACCACCCAGATGTTGCTGTCACACCTGGGTCACACCTGGGGTCACACCTGTCCCATTACACCTGTCCATGTCACACCTGTCTCACCTGTCCCATCTCACCTGTGCAGGTGTTGTCAGAGGTGTGCGGGCAGGAGGTCACCACCACCCAGATGTTGCTGTCACACCTGGGTCACACCTGGGTCACACCTGGGTCACACCTGTCCATGTCACACCTGTCCATGTCTCACCTGTCTGATCTCACCTGTCTCACCTGTGCAGGTGTTATCGGAGGTGTGCGGGCAGGAGGTCACCACCACCCAGATGTTGCCCACCGTGCTGCGCATGGCCCCGGGGTCACACCTGGGGTCACACCTGGGTCACACCTGGGTCACACCTGGGTCACACCTGGGTCACACCTGTCCCATTACACCTGTCCATGTCTCACCTGTCCCATCTCACCTGTCCAGGTGTTGTCGGAGGTGTGTGGTCAGGAGGTCACCACCACCCAGATGTTGCCCACCGTGCTGCGCATGGCCGCCGACGCCGTGGCCAA